TAGACTTTTGTTCCTCCATGTTTCGTTGTTATTGTTTCACTGAGCGGACCCGCACATTTTTTTCAAACGCTCCCTTTTTTGGTCCATCTGCGGCGGTAATAGGTTTTGTGCACTGTGATGATTCGGCTGTACCTTTGGTAATGAATATGAAATGTTGTGAGGAAATCTTTCCACCAATAATTCCAATAAGTATTCCAAAATGTATTCACTTCAGGTTTACGAAAGTAACTGTAATCAGATTACTCGTTTTTCAAATGTAACGCGAGCTGAATACAGTTACTTGATTTTTGTATTCTGATTACGTAACGCCGTTACATGTATTCCGTTACAACCCAACCCTGCCTGTTCAAATATTGCAGCTTCTATATTTGACTATTAACAGGGAGGGCAATTATTTCAGTTCACTGTCCATAAATTGCTCTTTAACAGCTTGATTTGAGGATTTTTTTGAATTTTGGGACTTAAATAAGTCAAATATCTGTGTAAAAACATGTTTAAATAAAAAAACTAATTAGCCAATGAGCCAACAAACCATGAAAATAATAACTTTTAAAAAAAAATCTGTTTTATGTGAATTTTCTACATTTCTTTGGCTGTCACCTTTGGGCGTTTCCTCATTCACAGGCTGGAACTGAGGCGTGTTGGGGTTCCAACTTCCTGTGATGATGTAAGACTTCCCGTCGGAACTCTTTCCCATCGACTCCTGAAGGGGCACCAGTCAGAAGAAGTTAGCAAACACACGCAAACACAAAATGACACACATACACACACATATACACGGTCACCCACCAGATCTAGCAGGTGCATGTCGCTGTTCTTCACATTTTTCCCAGGGCTGAGCAGGAGACCGAAACACCTGGAAGGGGCACACATGAAAGCACACAACACACACACCACAAAGAGAGAGAAGAAAAAGTGTTATGAATAGGATTACATAAGAAAAAAAGGAAAAAAAAACAGAGCGAGAGCCAGACACAGAACAATAAATCCCTCTATAGAGTACGACCAGTTGATAAACATCACATGTTACCGCAAATAGCTTCCTGCGCTGGTCCTCTAACGAAGACCAGAACATCGAGAATATTAAACACAGCCCTTCAATCCTCACCTTCTCTGGGCTCATCTAACAATAACAAACCACCATGAAAATGGAAGTCTGCTAAAAAGGTGATGGAATGTTTACACTTCAGCAGATTGATCAAACCATGGAAAATGAGGAGCCTCTGGGACAGACTCAAATCAATCACAGTCTTAAAACTGTGCCGGAACACTTAAAACCTGACGCAGGCCGACAGACGGATGTAACAAATGTTCACCGGTGTGTGTTTATCAATTAAAGATGACTTATTGCTTACTTGTGAATGTCTGGCCGTGTTTTTAGCTGACACATCTCAACTAACGCAAATACAGGAATCTCAGTTAGTCTGACAAACGTAAGATGGATTCTTTCCTTAGACATTTATCTTTCAGGGGAATGCCTAAGTGACATGTTTTAAGTCATTTGCTGCATTCCTTGGGGTTAACATTCATCTATATCAAATCTCCTCTGCATGCTTTTGTCGTTAAAACTCATGTCTGTCGTGCTTGTTGTACTTCAGAACAGATTTCCTGAAAGCATTGCTGTCTTTATAACAGATGTTGACTTGGTTAATGAGAACAAAACTTTAAACCAGTTCCTCTAAGGATGCACCAAAGTGATGTGTTGGTGCTTTATTTTACCTTTCAATGGCCAGTTCTTTATTGCAGGTTTGTTGGACATAAATGACAATTTTTTTGTCCATTCCTGCACGCAGCTTGAAGCTCTGCTTGTCCTTGTCCTTTGCTACAGCACTACATATGTGAAAGAAGAAAAATAAAAGATCATTAATGGAAAGAAGAGAGATACATGTGACATAATTATTCCTAAATGATGCAGCAGACACAGTGATGGTTTGAAATTACACAGTAAGGAAGATTCATTATCATTTAAGAGAGCTAATGAAATGAAAGTCATTTTAGATCATATTTGATCACAGATGAATAGAAAGGGAAATAATAATCCTGCAGTTTCATGTTTCTCCAGCTGGACAACTTTTACCAATGAAATGTAGCAATTATTAGTCAAACAGGGAAAATAACTAAATACATTGACTCATATTTAGAGTAAACCCATGTACTTCACTAATAGTAAACATGGGAGTAAGAACCATTTCTAAACATACTCTGCTTTAAAGGTGGGGTAGGTCATTTTGGAGAAACCAGCTCGAGTGCGCTGGAATTTGAAAATACACAACCGGAACAAATCTGCCACTTCCTTACAGAGCCCCTCCTCCAACACACACGAACGCGCACATGACCAATGAGGGCACGAGATAAGTTTGTGCACAGATGGAAGGCTGACAGGCAGGTAGGCCATCCAGTTACTTTATCCGGGCAGGCTAAAATGATTGGTTGGGCTTTATACAGCGCCACGGCTTCCACAGATGAAATAATTTATGTATCATTGTCAAAGCATTTAAGATATTCATTGCTATCGGGATGTTAAGAGCATTCCATGGAATATAACAAAAAGTGTTTCTGAAATAAATGACATACCCCACCTTTAGGAGCAGGATATAAACCAGATTTGAGACAGAAACAGTATTCAACATTCCCCAAACCTTCTTGTGAATACACTTATGAGGAAACACTTGAGTACCTTAAGCACGACGATTTTTCAGTGGAAAAATATCCATAAATCAATTTGAAATATATTGTTAATATTTGGAACCTGGCAGTGTTCCAGGTATTTGTTTTGCTCCTGAAGAATTTTAGGCAGTGCTCAGATCACAGAAAAGTGCCTTTGTGTGAATAGTTAATGTACAGCATGGTCAACTATTCAACTACCGTAAGTCATGGTTTTACCCCAGGTTCTCTCACTGCAGATACATTGGATTGGCAACACCCTATTAAACAACATTCTTAAAAAAATGTATTATACTTCTGCTTTTCCAAATATAATACTGAATACAGTTTCTATAGAGAATACTTTTTACGCTTTACTTCTACAGTACAAATACATTCTTCCACAAAAAAGAGTCAATGTGTGCTTGCATGTGAGAGCTGTTTGCTTGGAAGTCAGCACACTAAAAATAATCAACCTACAGCTAATGAGGAGGAAATATGTGTCAGTTCAATTTAACCACAGGCCTAATTTTGTTTGTTTTGTTTCCAACTAAGAGTATCTAAGGCTGTTTGTGAAAAAACAGAAGTGACTCAGAACGGAAAACCAAAAAAGAAAAAGTCAGGGAAGATGGGCTCAATAGAGCAAACACACAAACTGTGTGAGCTCTTATCAAAGTGTGAAAAAGATTGTGATTTTAATCTGTAAGGACAGAATGTCCGTCTACTGTGAGACACAAAGGACTCCCTAGCTTTTATTTTTCTTCTCTGTTCCTCTGTGTTCTGTCCATCATTTAAGAGTTATTACTCTATTTCCTGTTTAATTTTTTCCCTAACATTTACACCTCTAAAAGGTTTGTGACTTCTGTAACTGAAAACAGTTTGATTATGTTTCCACACCTTTGTGCAACTCCATGTGTATTAAGACAATTTACACCACTTCGTAACCATCATAAATGATGATTCCATGCTCAGAACATCCACATCATTGACCGTATTGTCTCACCTGAAAGTACCCTTGCCATCATCCTCTCTGATTTCCTGGCTGACGGTGAAAGTAAACAAGTCGCTGTCAGGTGTGAGCGGCGCCGGCTGCTGAGAGGAAAGAACCGCCTTCTTCGCTGAGCGCCGAAACGCTGTGGCAAAACTGTACAGTATCCTGCTCACCTGCAGGAGGAAGGTGAACACACACAAAAGGTTTAACACAACATTAAGGCAGTATAATTAGGAGAGCTAATAGTACATATATTAGCAATAATCAACAAAGGTGTTAGTTTAAATAAGCATCCCTGGCTTTAATCAACTGTAGTCAACAGCAGCAACTTGTTGGAATTATTTCTTTACTGACATTTACGGAAACGCTTTTCCACTCACATGATTGTTGACTATTACTTTACAGACATGTGCGCGTGATTGCAAAAAGATCGTTTCCCAGGAAAGGATCCCTGATCGTCTCTAATTCTAGTAAATAGCAGAGTTTAGGGGGTTAGTGACGGAGAGATGATGTGGGGAACCTGCTGTTATTAATACATAACAGCTTTTCTTAGATTTTCCCGCGGCCAGAGTATAAAGCAGCTTCTAACATCTCCAACAAAAAAGCCTTTGTTTTTGTTCCCCTTGTAGTAGAAGGATGTTAGGGCATCCCAGGAGGTTGTTTATTGAAAAACAACAAGGGGCTAGATTCAGGAGATGGGGAATAAGTGGAGTTAGAGGGGGTCACCCTCTGTATGAAATTATGTTATTAAAAACATGATAATTGTTGTTTGGTATGGTTCTGATTAATGCTAGTTAAAGTGAACAGTTTCCGCCGTTTCTAAAAAAGTGCCCTTAAACTTGACAAATCTTGTTATATCGGGTGCTTCTTTTCTAACAAAGGGAAAACATTGGTTCCTCTTTGTAAAGTAGACACTTGACATTTGATTTAAATGAGTGAGTGAAATAAATCTATTAGAGCCCTACAGATCAGATATAGATTTCTGCACGCGAGCAGCACATTTATAGGCAAAAAATGGAAGTCAGCGGGGATCTTCATCACCACCACCAGCAGAGAACTGTGAATTCTTAGAAACTAGCTTTGGGCTCTGTCTTGGAGGTCCGGCCCAAAGGAAGCAGAGTAAGAATGAGGAGGTTGTTTGCTTTATGTATGAACAGTTCAGCTCCAAAGCCCACAAATCTGCTTAGGAAAGGAAATGTCTGCGTACATGTTAAAAATTCTAAAAATACATGATGAAAGAAGGACGTTATTTGTCTGAATTTTTTTATTTATCTTTCCAAAATTGTCATATTTTTTAAATTAGGGGGAAAAAGTAATGAGATGCTCTTTGCAATTTCATTAAGTAATGGGGTCAATTGCTTAAAGCACAAATGAGACAGCTGGGTAAACAAGGCCATAAATAGTTTTAGTCCAGCTGTGATGTTCTGCCAGAAGGTCAGCTCAGTACAGATCGGTGATGAAATTATTGAATAAAAACAGCGCTTTGCAAAGTCTTACAAGTTTTTTAACAATGGCTTTGAAGCTAAATTGAGACAAATGACTAGGGCATCCTTTTTTCTGAAGAAGCAGGAAACCAGCTGGTTGGCTAACTGTTTAATAGTTTGAATGAAATTGCCCCTTCCAAAGAAAACGGTTAAACATTCTGCATTTGGTGTGCGGCTTGGGGTTCGGAAGGAAGAGGAGGGCGTGAGGAAGAGGAAGAGATGGGAGAGAGAGAGGAAGAGGAAGAGATGGGAGAGAGAGACGAAAACAGAGATGCCCGGTTTCCAAGTAACGAAGTGAATCACTCAGGGATTAGAAGAGTGTGGGTTTGTGTGTGTGTGTACAGTATATGCATTAGTGTTTTAGTGTGAGCATGTGTGTTGCGGGTGGGTGTCTGGATGATGTGGGGCTGATAAAATAGTCTGGGGGCTCTTAGCGAAATTGAAGGAGAGTGCTTCAATGAGTGAGAAATCAGGTCACTGAACACTGAAGCATAACTTTAACCCAGTTTCAAGACTCGACTCACTATCCCCTTCCTTTATATCTCTAGTGAGCCTACTGTTTATATGCAATGGCTCATCTACTCCCATTTAAGTTAGCTGGAGGGATTGTGTGTACTTTGATGTTTGTATGTGGCGGTAAATGGGCATTGCAGCGCAGCAGTGCAGTGCATGACATAATCCCTCAGGGAGCACTGACGAAGCTCCCAGAATGCCGCTGAACCCCGGGGAACAGGCTGGAGGGAGATCAACATTTAACCACAAGGTCAGGCAGAATCCTGCTGACAATATGAGTGTGTACTCGTGTAAATGTGCATGTGTGGTGGAGACAGAAACTGTGTCAAACAAAAAATGGCATATGAGATGAGGAGCAGTGCATTTATAAGAGGAGCTTTTGCGCCCCCTTTGGTTCAATGTTGGTATAGCAGTAACATTGGTTAATAAATTGTGGTTTAGTGATAAAGGTTTGTTCAGGTTTCGCTATCGGTTATCGCCCCAGATGTTCATAAGTTCCCTTACTTTCACTTAGACCCTCCAGAAAAACGCGGGCAAAAATCCTTGATTATGCGATTAAACATGCAGGGTTTTTATGTGATTTTATGCGGTGAAATTGCGGGAAGTTGCGAAATATGCGGGGGAAAAGGATAACAATTTAAATATTGGGCTGTCTTATTTATTCTCTCTCACACACAACCTGCCACTGACGTTGAACCCCTTTCCTATTCAATTAAACACATTCAATGTTTACTTATTGTAAAAGCAATTGGGTTATTTTAATCTCACACACACCCACACACCCAC